TATAGATAGGAGTGATAATAAATTAGCGGACTTATGTGTTAACTATGCCATTTTTGGTTTTTTTTGTTTGGATGATTTAGAACTCAATAAGGTTCCTCCTTCATTTATAGAAATGTTGAAGGAGGAATCGGTAGGTAACGTGTTTTAGTTGGTTTGCTTGTTTTTTAGCTTTAATGCAATTATTGCTTTCTCAAAAAAAAAATGTCACAAATGGCTACCTCACGTTGGTTATTAATCTTAAAAAAGCATAGATAAATTACTAGGGGCTCCACTATAGTTTAAATAAGTCAAAATGAAGGAAAAAACATAAAATTTCAACTGAGATTGATTTCTGTTATTTTTCGATTATATAATCAATTTTCAGGGATGGAAAATGGTAAAAAAAAAAAATGACTTCAAAGTTTTATCTATATGCATTCAATCTACCATATAATCATAAAAAAATAACAAAAAAATTAAAAATAATAATAATAAAAAAAAAACTTACATCCCACCGTTTAAACTTTGTACTTCGAAGAAGAGGAAGTGGAGTGATGCCGGACAGGAACACTCCCTACGCTGGGGAGGAGCTTTGTCCTGATTGTAGGCTAGTAGTCGATTTTCGAGCCCATGAATGAAGAAGGAATGTCGAGCAGAGATGAAGTAACAAGAATATGAGCAAAATTGAAATGGCCACTTAAGGGATACCGAGCTGAGATTTAATTTATTTTGAAGCTCACGGCTCCAATGAATGGGAGCCATTTTTCTGCTTTAGCAATCTTACCAGCCGATCTAGTGGTTTTACCCGATTTGATACGAATCCAGCTACAAATAATAACTAAACCGGTTGACCAGCCAGTTCACAATTTAACTACTTGAACCAGATGTTCTGATCCAGTTTTTAAAACCATGGTTATATTTCTATTTTGATCCCATCTTCCTTATATAGGTGTTGGAGGTTCAAAGGTGTTATAGGTGAAAGTAGAGTTATAATGGGAACCGAGCTAGATTTTCTTGCACAAGTTAAAGTGGAGTTATAATCAAATATCGTGGCATGTTCATATCATAAATTAAATATTTATATGAAACAAGTTCAACTACAAATGATTTTTTATTAGTAAGTAAACTTCGATGCTTCTGCGAAAGTACATGTTAATATCTAGAATGTTCAAGTTTAAGTGAAAATTTCAGAAAGGTTATTTATAATTCATGTTCAAGTTTAAGTTATACCTATATTATCCTTTTGATAGTGTAAAAAATATGATTAAGTAAATATTATCTAATTTTAAATTTATTTTTTATCATTATATAAATATTAGTTAAACGTTTTATTTGTAGAGTGCAAATACGGATGTTGATTTCTATAAAAGAATTTTTGCGATTGCCCATTTCGTTACTTATTTTGTGAAGTATTTTCTCTTTCATGGACAGTGAAAGAACCAATTGAGAAAGAGTTGATTAGCTCATAGTTTCCAAATGCTAGTGTAGTTTGAGGTATTCTTTTGATAATCCAATATTTATTTTTGTTTTCATTATCACATATAGTTTGGACTAATGCAAATGATTAATTTGAATGAAATGAAAAGTTTTGTTTTTTCTACATTGTATTTTATTGAAAATCTTATAGTTTATTAGTTCTAGTGTATAAAAAAAAACTATTGTCGAGAAATTAGTTTTAATTAGGGGTGTCAAAAATTGACACAACGCGACAACTCGTTTCGGAGATGACATGAAAACTCGACTCGAACCTGATCCAAAATTTTTAAGGTCAGGGACGTAAACCCATATGAAAAATGGGCTGAGTTCGGGTCCCCAATCCTAACTTCTTTCTATTAGATAAATAGTTATTTACTTATTTACTTTGTTGCTTTCTATATACGTGTAATCTGTTTATTGGTACTTAGGCTACTTATGTCTATATAATAAAGGCTGTACTATCTTACAAGTGGATAATATACTTTCATCTTTTCTTTGCTCTGGTTTCCCGTTCTTGTCATTTTCCTTTTCTTGTTCTCCTTCTCCGGAGCTTTCATGGTATCAGAGCAGGACACAAGCTGATCCTGTCTTCTTCTTGTTTATCATTTTTTTCTGGTTGCCATGGCAACCAATTCCTCCTCCACCACGGTCATTTCTGACTCTCGGCAAAGCTCCGACGGTTCTTCTAATGCGCAGCTCATGCATCAACAGCTAAAATTTTTTATGACTAACATCAAAGGTATCTCGCTTACACTCACCGCTGAGAATTTTCCTATCTGGCGGTCTCAAATCTTCAAGCTCTTCAAAGCCAATGGGTTTGAAGGGTTTCTTGATGGGAGCTGCATTTGCCCTCACCCGTCAAGCCCCATTTCCGAAACCGAATTATCATTCCAAACCTGGAATCATCTTGATCAAAATCTGGCCGCCTCCCTTTATTATGTTATTTCTCCCACCATTCTTCCTTATGTTCTTTCGTTGGATCATTGTGCTGACATTTGGGATACTATAGCTCGCCGCTTACAATCCAATACTCGCTCTCGCACCATCCAATTGCGCAACAAACTTCACCACTTATCTATGAAAAATCAAACTATGTCCCAGTATCTTCTTGCTGTTAAATCTGTAGTTGATGCTATTGCTGCTACGGGTTCTCCTTTAGATCCCGAGGAAGTCATTTTTTACACTCTCAACGGTCTCCCGGCTCAATATCAGTCTTTCAAAACGTCCATTCGCACGAATCTTCAACCCCTTAGTCTCGACGACTTGTACACCTTGCTCTGCAGCGAAGAATTTAATATTGCTCAAGAAACTGCCACCGCGCTTCAAAACCTTCATATCAATGATCCTGCCATAGCTTTAACTGCGTACCGCGGAAGAGGTCGCGGACGGAACAATACCAGTAGAGGTAGAAACTCTAATCGTGGTCGCACTCGCTCGGACAAGAACACTTCCAGCAGCATTATCTGTCAATTTTGTACAAAAATGGGGCACTCAGCCATAAAATGTTGGTATCGTAATGATCCTTCATACACCGAAGAATCGATCAAGACTGCGCTCTTTACTCAGTCCGACGCCAACAGTAACACCACGGATTGGTTTCTTGATAGCGGTGCATCAAATCACTTAACATCGGATCAAACCAATCTTCAATCCGGTCGATCTTATACCGGAAATCAACATATTACTATCAGCAATGGTTACCAACTGCCGATCCAACACACTGGAAAAGGTATCCTTCCTACACCTACAGGTAATCTTCAACTTAATCACCTTCTTCATGTTCCCAATCTTTCTTTCAATCTTCTTTCCATTTATCGGCTAACCAAAGATAATAATTGTTCGGTCAAGTTTTCTGCTGATAATTTTTAAATCCAGGACTCGAAGACGGGTCACATTCTGCTTAAAGGTCCTTGCCTTAATGGGCTCTATCCAATCCGTTCATCTTCCTCTACCACTAATCTTGCTTTGTTTTCAGCTCAAGAAGTACCGAACTTATGGCACCGGCGTCTTGGACATCTGGCTTCTCAGACGATTCAAACTATTAGCAAAAGTTTTCCTGCAATTTGTAACAGATTAATTAAGAATCACTGTGAAACTTGTAATCTGGCCAAGAGCCGTCGTTTACCATTTCAATCGTCTATTTCTGTTTCTAATGCTAGTTTTGATCTGGTTCATTCCGATGTTTGGGGGCCTTCACCCACGTTGTCTGCACAAGGTTACAAATACTACGTTTCTTTTATTGACGACTACTCAAAATATTGTTGGATTTTTCCGCTCGTTCAAAAATCAGAAGAGTTTGATAAATTTTTTGAACTTTACCGTATGATTAAAACTCAATTTAATAAAACAATTATAAAGTGTTTCGCTCTGACGGCAGAGGTGAGTTCATAAATAATAAATTCAAATCCTTCTTTACGAACGCTGGCATTCTCCATCAATTTACTTATCCTCACACGCCGGCTCAAAACGGTGTTGCTGAGAGAAAGCATCGGCACCTACTAGAAACTATGCGCAGTCTTTTTATCGATGCTCATCTCCCACAATCGTTATGGTTTGAAGCTCTTCACACCGCCGCTTACCTCATAAACTGTTTGCCTTCTCGCTCTCTCAAGAACAAATCTCCTTATCACATTCTTTTTCAGAGACCACCTGTTTACAATCACTTAAAGGTTTTCGGGTGCTTATGCTACCCTTGGCTTCGACCCTACAACACTAATAAACTTTCTCCGCTCTCCATTGCTTGTACGTTTATCGGTTATGCCTCTGCTTAGAAAGGATATCGATGTCTCGATCCGAAGACGGGACAAGTCTACAACTCTCGGCATGTTCTGTTCTACGAAGGTATATTTCCTTACTCCTCTAACTCTAAAATAAATTGTTCCTCACCAACTACAGGTTCTCTACCTCCGTTACTTCTCGTGCCAATTTGCTCAAGAAACACCACTGTACCTGAATCTTCTCATCCTTCAAGCACGGTTCGCAATCATATCACTCTGTCTCCTGCTGTCAACAACGCTCTGCCAATGCATCTTCCTCCAACTGACAATGTTCCGGTTTTATCCAATCCGATAGACACTAATTATCCTGGTCACAAAATGTTGACAAGGTCCAAAACAGGGCATTCTAAGCCAAAGCACATCTTTAGTCTTCTTCATACTACTGATAATACTGATCCTCAATGTTATAAAGAGGCAGTTAAATCCATACATTGGCAGCACGCAATGCAGCAAGAATTTAAGGCTCTTCAATCTCAAAACACCTGGGATCTTGTTCCACCGAACTCCTCACAAAACGTTCTGGGATGCAAATGGATTTTTTGTACCAAATACCTTTCCGATGGCTCCGTTGCTTGGTACAAGGCCCGACTCGTCGCTCAAGGCTTTAATCAAGAATAGGGTATCGATTACGTAGAAACATTTAGCCCAGTGGCAAAAATTCCAACAGTTCGGATACTTATTGTCATTGCTCTACATCGTCAATGGCCACTTCATCAGCTCGACGTTTCCAACGCGTTTCTTCATGGCACTCTTAGTCACACGGTCTATATGAAACAACCTATTGGATTCATTGATCAGACCAAACCAACGCATGTTTGTCGGCTCAAAAAAGCTATTTACGGGCTTAAGCAATCTCCTCGAGAGTGGTTCGCCACTCTCACCGGACATCTTCAATCACTCGGTTTTAAACTCAGTTCATCAGATCCTTCTCTTCTTCTTTACAACCACAATGGTGTCCAAATGTTTTTCTTGGTCTATGTTGATGACATCATCCTTACCGGTTCTTGCTCCAAAGCTCTCAAGAAGCTCATCGATAATCTGCACGCAACTTTCACAATGAGAGATCTAGGCTCATTGTCTCAGTTCATGGGCATCCAAGTCACACCTACTTCTTACGGTCTTCATCTATCTCAAAGTCGTTTTGCTCAAAGTATTCTCACTCGTGCAGGTATGACAAATTGTAACCCGGTTTCTACTCCTTCTTATTTAAAATCTTCTATCAAAGGTCTAACTGCTTCTTATTCCAATCCTACTTTCTATCGCCAACTCGCCGGATGTCTTCAATATCTAACTCTAACTCGGCCGGACATCACTTACACCGTCAACAAGGTTTGCCAACACATGCAGAATCCGACAATTTTACATTTTGAAGCTCTCAAATGCCTCTTACGGTACATCCAAGGCACGTTGCACATTGGTCTTCCTCTGTTTCGGGACAAATCGGTTCTTCAGTCCTACTCCGACTCCGATTGGGCAGGTGATACAAAGGATCAGAAATCAATAACGGGTTACTGTAACTTTCTCGGTTCGTCTCTCATATCCTGGTGTACAAAGAAACAAAACACTGTGGCTCGGTCCTCCACCAAAGCTGAATACCGAGCTCTTGCTTCCGCGGCAGCAGAAATAACGTGGATCTGGCGACTGCTACAAGAATTAAATTGTTCTCATCACGAATCCACTCCTCTATTTTGCGACAATACTTTTGCTATCGCCTTAGCAAACAACCCTGTGTTTCATGCTCGAACCAAACACATTGAGGTCGACTGTCACTACATTCGTACCTGCATTAAAGACAAAACCACCCAGATTCATCACATACCTACTAAGGATCAACTGGCTGATTTACTCACCAAGCCGTTACCTGCTCCACGGTTCAAATTTCTTGCTCACAAGCTGGTTCAACCGCTGGAGACAACAACTTGAGGGGGGATATTAGATAAATAGTTATTTACTTATTTACTTTGTTACTTTCTATATATGTGTAATCTGTTTATTGGTACTTAGGCTACTTATGATGTCTATATAATAAAGGCTGTACTATCTTACAAGTGGATAATATACTTTCATCTTTTCTTTGCTCTAGTTTCCCGTTCTTGTCATTTTCCTTTTCTTGTTCTCCTTCTCCGGAGCTTTCACTTTCAAATTTTGAGTATGTTTTGGGTCAACCTTATGACCTGTTTATGACTCGGAATGACCCTCACGGTTGAATTTACGGCAAGCATAATATGTCTGGTCTACTTAACCTTCACTATTCATTTCTACGTGTATCTTCTCTCAGCTTAACGTACGTATATGCCTTCGTATGTTTAAGGTTTCTCTCAAATCTCTTGTATCCTCCAGCTCGATGCTCTCCCTATCTCATGTGACTCAGTTTTCATTTCTTTTAGTTTTTTTTTTTTTTTTGCTTAGTGAACCTCAGTCTGACATTCATAAGTCACTTCATCATGATTTTGGTTTTTGTATTGAAGTAGTTAGGTTAGGGCTTCATTTTTTTTCCCAGTTTTTATTTCAATTTCTTAGGGCTTTACATTTTTTAAGATTATTTAGTTTTTCTGTTAAAGTATTGCAATTTTTTTTTTCCTTTATATGGCCATACGATTATACCTATACTCTCGTAGTCTGATCTCTGTATTGCAATGGTTTCATATGAGTTCTGTATTTTTTAGGGGTTTGCATTTTCGCAGCAACATAAAATTTGAGAAAATATATTTTTAGCCATGTCTTTATAAAATTACTTGAATTAAAATTAGAGATAAGATTTTAGAAGTCTACCGTGTGCTATACAAAATCCCTAACTGGCCTAAGAGATGAAACCTAAGCTTTAGCTTCTAAATCCGTTCACTTTCTTTCCTCCCTTTCCACTACTTCTCCTCCTCTCTTCTCATGGTTGGGGTGAAATGGGTTTAAAATATGTATTAAGATATTTTATATTAAAAACACAAATTTTGGTTTCTCTCCATAGTGCTCACCATCCTACTGATGCTACGCTCTTGCGAAATATTCCAAATTTTGCTAATTATTCTTAATTGAGAATGTGAAGTCCTACTAGCTAGCACCATTCCTAACACCATAGTGCCCTCCTTTTACCTATGGTGACTTACATTTTTTCTTTCCCCTTTCCAAATCCTTGGCTTATATAAGGTTAACAAAACTTTGCAAGATTCAAAATTACTAACATAATCAATAGTAAATAACCATTTATTCAAGATTACATTAACTACTTAAGGTTAGAACTACGAGTATTACAAAGCATAAGGTGTTGCTGAAACATCTCCTCAATGTATATGCTGATATCAAAAATTCTCATGCTTTAGAATAATATATATCCAGAGGGAGCAAAATTAACTCACATACCAGCTGTCAAAGTAGAGTATTCTAGATGGGTGACCTACCATAAAGATGGCCTAGCCAAAAATTTAAAAAGAAAAAGCTATGCATTTAAATGTTGATATTCTGATGAACCACATAGAACCATACATGGAGTATCTCACAACCAAAAAAAGGCTTGGCATAAGACCTGCATTCCCACCTGCTTTGGGGGTTTAGGCATTGCTGACATACAGCCTCAAAGTTTTGGCCATGGTTGCAACTTCATTTGGAGATTTTATAGCAACAGGTCTCTAGTCTTTTCTTGGCTTAGATACAAATATATTTCACCTTACAAACCCCCTCCATCGACTGCTTCAAAATTCTAGAAATTCATTTGCTCAATTGCAGCCCATATTAAACACTTGATCAGCTTCCATGTGATTAAATCTCATAGTTGCCCTTCTATGACCTGGGACCCATGGCTGAATGGACTATTATTAGAGAGTATCTCTTCCCACCTTCCCTCTGGGTACATCGGGGTTAAAGAATATATTTTTGATGGAAAATGGTAGTTAAAGGAGGATATTTCCTCTCATGTTACCCATGCAATCTCCTCTGTCCCTATCTCTGATAGCTCCTCTAATATTTCCTAGATGGGTGAGGGTGTGCTTAGCTTTAAAACTTTTAAAATGCTTTTCTTTTCTGAATTTACTAAGATTAGCTGGCATAAATTCATATGGCACAAGCGTACTGCCCTTCGATTCTCTACATATGCCTGGTTAGTTATGATTGGAGGTCTCAAATCTGTGGAGGTGCTTGTGAAAAGAAATATTATTATTTCTCCCAACTACCCTTTATGTTCTATAGAGGATGAAAGCATCAATCACCTTTTTTTTCAATGTGAATTTTCTTTTTAGATATTGAGCCTTCTTATTCCGGAAGTCTAGGAATTTCTTTTAAGAGCTAATTTGCTTAAGCTTTTTGGGTATTTTGATGGAGCCCAATGGTTTACCTCTCATGATAAGAATTTCTATTTTTTTGTTACTTGCTTTTTGGTTTACTTCATTTGGAAAGAAAGAAATGATAGAAGATTCTTGAGGAAACATAGTTCTTCTAATGCTTTTTATCACTTGGTTACCTCGGCGATTTTGTCTAAGGCTAGAAGATGGAAGAATGCTAAAAAGTTAAGCAATAACTTTCCTCACTGCTTCTCTCGCCAATTATACAATCGGGATGGTTTTTGGAATGTCTCTTGGCAATGATGAGCCGAATTGACTGCTGGCCATTTTTCCCTAGATGGCCTCAGTTTCCGCTTGCGTCTCCCTACAGCAATTGGCCTGGCATTTTGCACCCTGTTGGACCGTCTATGGCATTCTGATGGCAACCGGGAACCCATTATTTCGTTGGCTATGAGCAGTCCCTGCTTTAATGGTTATTCTGCCTTCTACCAGTTCGTGATATGTCTTGAGCCCATCTAAGACAATTTGGGTTTTTGGCCATTTCTATTTTTTTATTACGGCTTTTCATTTACTTGTAAATCTTTAGAGTTGTATTTGCTTTTCTTTTAATTTCCATCTGATCAATATACGGGCTAATCCCAAAAATTTTTCAAAAAAAAAAAAAAAAAAAAACCAAAAAAAAGGAAGAGATAATTTGAAATAAAATTCATATAATATCAATAATAATAGAAATGTAGATTGATTATTAAAGAGGTGCTTCAAATGCGAGAAATTTGCATGCATATAACAACTGTCTCAGAAGCAACCTTTTAAAATCCATCACCATTCAACATGTGGAGTATGGACCTCTTTGGTCCACTGCGACCTTGATTGAAAAGAGAGTTTATCCAAGTAATGGTGAGCTGTAATAGCTTGTATTTTGACCCAAGGAAATATTTTTTTTATAGAGTCATTTTAAGCAAAATTTGAAAATGGTCTTCACCATAACATTTATATTTTAGTATTTTAATTACACAAATATTTTTTTTTTTAATTTTTGGAAAATTGTGCAAATTCTTAAGAAATTTACATCAATTGATATAAGTGAGGATTTAGGGATAGTCAAGTGTCTTATTTGCAAGTAGATTTCACTAATATTTTTTAAATAAAATAATTTATTTAATGGATATTTTCTATAGTTTTAAAGTCCCAAAATTATTTATATGAATTTATATTTAAAAATTGATTATATTAAATAGTTATATTAATATTTTAATTTAATTTTATTATAAATATCCTAAATATCTAATTCTAGTATAATGCTTTATTAAAATCCTCTCTTTACCTTAATGCATTCGACAACAAACAATGGGTTGAGGAAATTTGAGAGAAATTTTGAGGAGAGAGAAATGAACAGTTAGGTTTTAGAGGTCGCGGTGCAATTTTTGCCACTTAGTCTTGTTGGCATAATTTCTTTCTTGTTGTAAGGAATAATTATCCTATATTTGATTTCAATAATTTTGCATTTTTTATATTAAGTTTGTATTCATAGAACTTTCACCGTATAACTTTTTGTATGTTATATATCTCATCAATATGAACATTTTGACAGTAACATATTAAATTTTCACATGTTAAATTAAAAGATATAATTTTTTGAAATAAATGCATAGTGTACAAACTCGATAAATGTTCCTCTATTTATACATTTCTACATTTCATAAATGATGTTGACTTATGATATTAACTTACATTGTATAGAAATGATAGCATTTACATGTAAGCAAGAAGGACTAGCTATTAACACTATAATGAATATGAGTTGGCATTTAAAATATAATACCCTACGCAGAAGGGTTGGCCGATGAGCTTTCCTTTAAAAGTTTGAGTATATAAATAAAAGCTATGCTTGCATCTAAATGGACTTAAAAGTTTTTTATAAAGGTTATGAAGAACCCCAAAGAGCTACCTTCATCACTTTATGAAAAGTGCTTTTTTCACTTGTTAAATTAAATAATTTTAAAAATTATAAAAAATTTGTTAAATTCAAATTTGTCTATGGATGATACATGACCTTACTAGTAGGCCGACTAGGAGAACAAGCAGGTATAACCTATGTGACAAAGGAGAAGAGAGAGTAAAGTTGAAAAGAAAGAGCAAGCATGTGTGTGTGTGTGTGTGAGAGAGTGAGAGAGAGAGAGAGAGAGAGAGAGAGAGAGAGATTAGGAAAATGCTTATAAATGACTAAATGGTCTCAAACAAATAGAGTTTTCATTATATTAATAAATAAAATACAAGAGAAAAAAGCCCACAAGTTGTTAATCATCACCCCTTATTTATATGATTTTAAGGGCTACATAAAAGTTATACAAAGAAAAAACACTACAGAAAAATAACTAATTTTCGTGAGAAATTCCAATAGATTTTCTAGCAAAATTTCTTCGATAAAATTTAAATGATAAATTATTTTAGATAGTTTAAAAAATAAATAAATTATTATAAAAATTAATATTATGAAATTAATTGAACTAATTTTAATAATTTATATTTAAATTTTGTATTAAAAAGATAAATTAATTTAAATTGTTTTTAAAATAATAAATTGTTTTAAAAAAATTTCCTCTCTCCCTATGTCTACTAGTATTTTTTAATGTATGTTTTACTGGAGTTTTTTTT